GGGGCAGGGTCGAGGGGAGTTGGCAAGTGGCCATTATGCAATAACAGAGTCTCTTTCCTTCCTTTTGCTGCCGGGAGGTCTGAGCTACAACGTGTCCCTGGGATTTGGGAGTATGTGCTGTTTGAACCCGTTGTGTCTGTGGCTGGTCTCTGCCCTGCATCGGAATCACCCCTGCATGGAAACCCCAAACCATGCATCCTCTCTGCCTTTTTGAATGCTCCCCATGAGAATAACCAACACAAATCAGACCTCGTACAGTTTCCGTAACTGGGACAAAGGATGTTAGGAAGAAGCCACTTGTTAGGATCATTTCCAGTGTGGTGAGCATAAGGGAGGGGTCAGTAAGAGAAGTCTCTTCCACCTGACCATTGTGCCGTGTGTCGCCTCTGTTGAACCTTCTGCACGGGGAGCAAGGCCAAAGATGTCTTTTCTTCCTCCTCCTCCTCCTGTTCTCTACCCCCAACACCCTCACCAAGCAGGGGCCAAATCAGGTCCCTGGGTAACTCCAGTGATCTGTGCTTAGCTATTAACCTAAAGGTTGGCAGATCCAACTCAGCAGTCCTGCCGAAGAAAGGCCTGCCAATCAGGTTCCCTAAAAATGACAGCCACTGGAAACCACTCGGCATTCAGTTCTCCTCCAGAGCACACCAGGCTGCTCCCCACCAGAATCAGCTCAACAGCAAGTGGTTTTGCTTTGGGTATCCATACAGTTGACCCTTGAACAGCAGGGGGTTAGACGGCATTGGCCCAGGTACTTGTGTGTGGATTCCCGACCCCTGCCCCCACCCCCAGGTGCTCCTGTGGTGCACACCAGTGGTCTGAGTGCCTGCTGAGCCCCTCTGCCTCTGCAGCAGTTTGCATTGTAGTACAAAGGAGGTATTTTTCATCACGGTTTAGTGCACAACCGGGGACCTTAGATAGCATCGTAGGGCCTATCAGAAGTGCCACTCATGACATCGGAAGTGCTCCCAGGAAGCAGAGAGAAGCCACGACATGGCAAGGAAAACGTCGCATTGTTTGCTGTGCACAGTGGAGCGAGCGCCGCAGCTCTGATGGCCGCTGTGACGAGGTCCAGGGACCCAGCGTGGAGACCACCGCAAGAAGAGAAAAAGGAGCCCAGGAAGCCGTGGCTGAAGCTGCGGCAGGAAGCGTGGAAAACCTGCATGGTTTATGAAAGACCTTTTACTCTCATCCTGGAAACACTCTCTGCCGTTGAGTCCATGCTGCCTCACAGCAACCCCCTGTGGGTTTCAGAAACCGTAACTGTTTCCAGGAGTAGAACGCCCAGCCTTTCTCCCAAGGAGCTGCTGGTGCTTTTGAACTGCAGACCACTAGGATTGCAGCCCACCGCGTAACCACTACACCACCAGGGCTCCCTCATTTTGAAATGCAGTTTCTATCTGGGTGCAGAGGAGCCCTGGGAGCATAGTAGGTTATGAGCTGG